GGATCAATTTATACTGATTTAAAGAAATGGTTTATGAATTCGTAGTGCTATTACAATTATATATAAATAATAAATAAAACTCTTTATATTTCTCTTTAATTAAGAAAATGTTGAACAGAAGGTTTTAACTTTCTAATTAAAAAAAAAACTTTATAGTAAAGCTCACCACAAATTTGTCGGCTCTCTGTTGTTTCACTTTTTAATTTCAATTTGAAATCAAAAAATTTATTCAAAAGGTGTTAAGAAAAAAATCATAGGTCTCAACTAGCCAGGTTTCTTCCTCAGTCCCCTTGGTTCTTTTTTCATTACAATCATTTTAGTTATTTGATTTTCAATACAGTTTTCAAGAATATGTATATTACATACAGTAACTTGTTTTTTGTCAACCATATATAGTAATGTGAAATGTGAATTTGTATATTAGCCATAGCTAGTGTAACTGCTATACGTACCACTTATACTCTCAGTCTCACGGCTTTGCTTAATCATCAATCATTGTTTGGATCGAAAGTTCGAATAGTTAGTTACTAAAAAGGGATGTAATTACTAATTAGGTTAATGTTGTATGGTGAAAAGTTTAACATAGTGGAAGAGATGTGGTTAAACTCTATTGAATGATGAGTTAGTTATAAAATTTAGCAATAATCTATGGTAACTATTTTTTACATAAAACATAAAAATATTATTCATTGTTGACCCCCAACATTTGGAAGAGGTTGAAAACCATTCCAATATTTGGTTTGACGGGGATAAAGTGCGGTTGAAACGGACCAATTCTATTTTGTTGTATGCAACTATCTTAGATTTATGTGTAATCATTCTGATTTCTTTAAATTATAGTTTGCGTATTGACTACGGTTAGGTGTATTAGGTTTTTTTTTTTTTTAACAACAGATGTATTAGCTTTTTAGCTCCGTGGTTGTGATTTGTGAGCTCTACCAATGAAAAAAAGTCAGCTAATACTTGCACTTTTGGAATAATAGTTAGGTTTCCATCGTCAAATGCGCCCACACGCATAACCAAAAAGGCTAGGCTAATCTTATGAATATAGAAATAATTGTTTTGAGTCAAAATCAAGATAAGCTAAATGGTGCCACGTTAATGAAGAAAGATTTATCTTTGGTAATCTTTAATTTGAGCAAATTAAATAGAACTAACTTTCCATATTTATATCGTTTGATCTCACCCACACAGTTGGAGCCCAATCTCATTGCCCTTATCTTTGACTTACTCAAATTTTTTATTGGAAATTTGTAGATTTTTTCCTTTGCATGTATTTTCCATTTCTTCTACTTCAGAAGTAAACTAACAATATTTTGTTAGCATTAGAGGCAGAGTTATTGGTGTAATTCTTTCATGTAATTTACAAAACCAAATTCATAAACAAAATATCGTTTTTAACTTCATCCAAAATACCGGAGAAACAAAAAAAAACGGTGACACTACATTAGAAAAAAAAATTGATCCCGTCGTAAGGTTTTAGTGTGTGTGTGTAAGTGTGTTTTACATGATACCGTGATAAGTTTTAAGACTACTTTTTGAGTATGTTGTTATTAAGTACAATCAGGTAGATAAACAAAGAACTTATATAACGTGATCGATTTCTGCAATCTCCCAAATGTTATACTATTATGCATAAAAATATATAAGATAGATGTTAGATCACTTTCTGTTGCAATCCAAACTTCGAAAGTTTTTAAGATAACAAAAGAAAGACAAAATTTGTATTTGATGGACCACGGACAAAACCAAAGGACCACTTCATAATATACATTGGATTTTTTTTTTTAAAAAAAAGAATATTAGTGAAGAAATATACACACTTTGCATCAGGATCCTTGAGATTGTTTTGTTTTAATGCACCTCCACGACATCCCCAGATTTTGGGTTTTCTTTTCTTATAAACACGTACGCACGTGCTATATCATGGCAATAAATCAATGAATTAAACAGTTATTTTAGTTGACTTATGTTTTCGATCTTCAACAGCGATATTTTTTTCTTTCTACTACAAAACAATATAGATGCTGTTCCAATAACTATTCTTTCCCACTGTTTCAAGCGACATTTTCACAATATATATTCCTCAAGATAAATTTAAATAATCCAACGTATCGAGCAAGAAAATATATACTCCTCAAGATATTTTCAATATTCCCAGACCAGAGAAATCGAGAAAAAGAGCTTCAATAATCCAAAACTGAATAGCAAGTAAATCCAGTACTAAGAAATGAAAGTTGAAACTTAACAACTCACGGGAACAGTCGCAACTGAATATCTGCATCGATAAATACAAACTCATACAATAATTTAGTCATTTATTTTTTTTCTTGCAAAGTTATGGACTATATATATATATATATATATGGGTGTTTCTTTTTATATATATATGGGTGTTTCGGACCAAAATTTTTTCTTATTTCTCAATTTAATGAACTAATGATCATATTGAAACTCTTTCGACGAGGATATTTATCGACTGACCAAGATCATCTAGATGACGAAGGCTCTACTAACCAAAACTAAAGATATTATAGAAACGATATGTCACATATGTGTGTTCAATTATCAATATGTATATATATATATGTGTGTGTGTGCGTGTGAAGACCACCGGTGAGGATTCAATCGGACACGATCCGACGATGTGAAATGGAAGAAGCAAAGCTGTGTCGTTTTTGTATGGTTTGATACGAAACCAAAGCTTTATGTCAGCTAAATTTCCAGACAAAGTGGTCCGACGGATGTGTCAATCAAACCTGTCCATCAACGGAAAGAAAGACCTTTATTACATTTTTTTTTTTTTACTTTTTGTATTAAAAAAAACAGATATCGGATCATTGGATCGGGTTTTGGAGTAGACCCATGCAAAATTATGGGTTTTCTTAAAATAAGGTTTATAAAATGGAATTTATTAAGTAACTGCAGGTTCTATTACCATATAAGGTAATGATATATTTTCAACTGATATTATACGCGACGTACAGATTCTTTTTGCCTCTAATGATGAGAAGTGCGATTAGTCGAGTGGACACTAAAAGTTATCTCAAAGGGTTTTTAATTAAGCACATGACTGAAAGCAATTAATTATTGAAGGACAAAATAATTGTTCATTATAAGATCATATTGATGGCTGTGATCGACAAGGTGCACCTAGCTAACGTAGACGTGCATACTGCGAAATAAACTAGGTGAAAAAAATCAAAGGAGTGAAGTTGAAGTTAAACCGATCCGGTTAGACAACTAGAATCGTAGTGTGTTGTGTCGGCCACCGTAGTTGGAACGGCAAAGCGTATTTAGGTCATTTACGGCCGTGCAACTTCTTTCATCACCCGGCGAATATTTATTCTCTAAATATTAATACATTGTTTTTTTTTTTGGTAAAAAATTGATACATTGTTTTCGAATTGAATTGAATTGACTTCTTATACTAATTGACACAGTAGTAATATCAAAGAGTAATTAGTAAATGCTCAAAAACGCAAGAAAAACGTACATGTTAGAGATAAATTAGAGGAAAAAATGTATAAATACATATCATGTCAAAATTTTTGTGTATGTGGAATGTGTATTAACTCGAAAATTTGTGTGTAGGATAGACTTCTCCTTGAACTCAAGTCATGAATGATTTTGGATTGTTCAAACAAGTATCACTATTAATTGATTTATATATGAGCTAGTACTTGCAGATTTCATCTGAATTAAATACTTATCCAGTGAATATACTAACTATAGTGATATAGTATCATCCTCAACCATAACGACAAATGATAGTAATGATTTTATATTCCAAAATTTTGGTTGTTGTTTGAATTGCTGGCAATAAAATTCGTTGATTTTTTTTACTGTTATCATCTGAAACGAACAAGAGTTATTGCACTAGATGCAGTAACCACACTTTTCATTGACATCAATTTTGCTGACATCATTGCAAAAACAGAGTAAACTACTTTTAAAGAAAATACACCAAATTGTCATCTTTTAAATTACCATTCTTTAAGCTTGTTTTCGTTGTTAACAAAACAACTGTCGACTTGATTAGCTTTTTTTTTTTTTCTACTCGACTTTGCGCTGAGTCAAATTCAAAATTACGTTAGGCTGCATTAAAAACAAAACGAAATTTATAATACTATAGTTTAAGAACGTCCTCGTCGTTTATGCAAATAACGATAACATGACGACAAAAAAAAAACGATAACATAAATGGAATATAACTGCATGATGTTAATACACTAGTGTAGTATCTTAGAGGACCCTAGTAAGAATTAAAAAAAAAAAAAAAAAGAGAAGCCCTGTTAAAAAAAAAGACCTTAATTATGCCTAAATTCGTCAATTTAATTTTTAAATAACCTAATAATATTCCTATCGTGACAAAACTTTGTGGTTTTCACTTCACCGAAAAAAAAAAAAAAAAACTTTGTGGTTTTTAGCAGAAATATTTACGATCCTGCCCCGAAACACTACACTCCTGACTCCTCCGAGAGCGACTCACTTAGCCACTTCGTCTCTCTCCCTCTCATCTAGACGCAGTAGTATTGGAGAAAAGCTAGTTTGTTAAGCCGACGGTTACATTCATCTTTTTCTTTTCAGAAAAGCAACCTCCAAGGCTGGACAGGCTTCGAAGCGTCTTGTACTGATCGTATATATTTATGGATGGAATGTGCGGTTTCCGTTCGTCGGGAGACTATTCGGAGAAAGCCTCGATGATGATGCCTTCCGATTACCAGTCCCTTCTTTGTTCATCCGCCGGAGACAACAACAATCGCGTCTCCGGCGTTTTTGGATCGGACGAACTCCTATCAGCGGCAGCTTCCGCCTTGTCTTCGTCGGCGGAGATGGCGCCGCGTATTCGAAGAGCTGAGGATAATTTCATCAAGTCCAAAATCGCTTCTCATCCTTTGTATCCTCGCTTGCTCCAAACCTACATCGACTGCCAAAAGGTGATTTGATTATTTATAACAAAAGATCAGTGCATGATTTTGTTCTTTATAAGGTGTATTAAGTGTCAGTGACTGACTTTTACATGTTCTTCCGAAGCATATATTATATGATCATTTATCGTTTTCACTAATTTTTATTCATTGCAATTTTACCCTAAGATAATATGGGGATAAGCTAGAGAGAGTACTGTGTTTTTAGATATGAGTTTATGGGAAGCGACAAACAGAAACGATGTATTTACTTTACTAAATTTCTCTATCAACACAACAATTCAATTTTAAAGCTAATGAGTATGATTTTTTTTTTTTTTTTTTTTGTTGCAAATTCTCTCAGGTGGGAGCTCCTCTGGAGATAGCGTGTTATCTGGAAGAAATTCAGCGAGAGAGCCATGTGTACAAGCGAGGTGTTTCTCCGTTTTCTTGCTTTGGAGCTGATCCTGAGCTTGACGAATTCATGGTTTTTTTTACTCGCTCATCTTTTTGTCTCATGTTTGATTCCTCAAAAATTCATTTTCTTTCTATAAGTAAAATTTCTCTGTGTGTGCAATGATTCTAGGAAACGTACTGCGATATATTGGTTAAATACAAGTCCGATCTCGCGAGGCCGTTCGATGAGGCTACTACTTTCTTGAACAAAATCGAAATGCAGCTCCAGAATCTCTGCACTGGTCCCGCATCTGCTAGACGTCTTTCAGGTCAGCACTAAATAAATCTCTGTCTCTTCTTCTCTTTCTAGTTCTCATCTACTGTTGATTTCTTCTTTGCTATGTTTTTTTTTCTGTTCAATCTCATACTGTTTTTAAGTTTTTATTGATCTTTGTGCTTGATCTGTGGTCTAAATTTTACAAATCGAATGGATATAAAAATCTTTCTCACTCAGAACTTTCCCTTTGGTGCTCCACATATCAGTTTCTGGGAATCGATGAAAATCTTCTGACACATGAATTTTTTTTCCTTTAATATATTTGCTTTTTCAAAATAATTATAACGGTGAGGAAACTGTAAACGAGTAACGATAAGTTTACCAGTAGATGAAATTAGGAGCTTAGTAAATCCTGTTAGGCAAATATTAATAAAACCCTAGTATTGGAGGAGATATTGATTTAGTTCATATTTACTCCATTTTCCTTCAATGGTCGTGTTAGTTTTGGCAAGAGACCTTGGAAAATAGAAAAAGCATGCTTTAGACGACTGATCCATGACACAGCTTTGTGCCATCAGTTATGGTTATGGTTTAGTCGTGGGGGCTTTAGAGGGCAAGGAGTGGGTGGGATTTTTCTCTGCTCAACAATATTTTCTTCATAGTGCATGATTTTTTGGTGTGTCATATACTATTCTTTTGTTGCTTTATGATATAGTTGTATTATTTATCTTCTCTGTCAGAAAGAAAATGGTCTATCAAAGCAAAAACTTTTGCGCTAGAGATTCTGATTTTGACGTTTCACTGTCGTACTGAAAGTTTTTTTTTTTAATTGCTTCTTTTCCAATGAAAATCCAATGATAGAGAGAAAAAAAACCTAGTCATAAGTTAAGTTCCACTAATAAATGCCACTGATTTTCTTGAGCTTGTTGTGACTTTCATGTTTAGATCATCTGAGTCGTTATTGCTTATTTTGTTTTCATCTTCATTAAGAACATGGGTAAAAAACAAAATTTTATCAGTTCTTAGAGTTTCCAAATTCTCTTGGTGAGAGGCCCTGTTTTTAAATCAGTAAACCAAATGTTATAGTCATCTAATATTTTTTTTATTGAAATTATAAGCATGGTGGTAAACAAAGCCGGCAAAAGTCTAACCCTACCGGAAACAAAGCCCGCAGAACAAGTAAAAATCCCCGGAAAATACATGTTAATTTTTAATCTAGTTTTCTTAAACAAAAGTTCATTAATTAGAGAAATAAAATCCTATAGTGAAAGTCGTTTTTTTTTATAAAAGGGAGGAAGTAGTTGACAACCAACTAATCCAACTTGTTTTATCATTGGATACATTAGGGTCTTACATTTGATGTCTGTGTCATCCAATGTATTCATTTCACATGTATAACATCACTCGTGTGCTTATTATTTACGAACCTCTCTTGACTCTCTACACCACTAGAAAAACCTAATGTATTGATCAGGTCAAATGGTTGGATTTTGTGTTACTTTCGCCCGAAAAGGCGAAAATAAATATTTGGTAGATCTCAAGTTCCATTAATCTGAGCTTATGGGCATGGAGATTATAATTAGCCATTTCTGGACAAGTGGTTGTACTTTTTTGCATGGCGTGGTTAAAGTGTTTTGTCGTCTTTTAATTTTGTTGGAATTATACTTGAGTAAATAAATGATTGATGGTAACCTCTTTGTCTATAATTTTTTTCTGAATTCAGAAGGATGCAACTTGGTGAGTAGTTACATACAGCCCAAATATGGCAAAATTAGGTTTTTTCTCTTGAAGGGCTGCTTTGTTTGCCTTGTGTGGTTGCTTTTTCGTCTAATGAAAGAAAACCTTTCACTATCTTAGGGATTTTAAATTAATCATTTATTTCTTCATCTCCACCTGACAGAGCTAGCTGGAAAGAAATGGAACTAAAAATTGTGGGATTCATCTTTTATAGGCTTCTTGTTATTGTGCGCTGTCTTTTGTATGCAGATATCAAATGCAGCTTTGGTTGTACTTTGTTAGCATTGTTTAATTTCGAAAAGTTGTTAATTCTTATCAAATTATTTAATTAATTGGACTTTGCTTAGGGAATCATGTCCAAAAGTTCTTAAAACAGATCAGTGCAGCTTGAATTGTCTATTAGTGGGCGAATGCTTAGTTTATAATCTTATATTTTTAATGGTTGGAAGTACAAACTAGCCTTTTTGGGGCTAATCTCATGTATGCTCTTTTTGATTGGATATATATATTGCCCTCTGAACATCTTTTTCTTGGCCAATGGCTTTTCCTGCTTCTTAAATCTTGAGAAATGAGTTTCTTTTCGTTTATCTTAAACTAATTAAAAAAACCCTCATATGTATTCGTTTCAGCTGTAGTTTCAGAGTCACATGCTTTGGTTTCTTTTCGTGCTAATATGTTTTGGGAATAAACCGAATCTTCTTTAGTCCATTGATGTTTTTCATCAATTGAATTCCCCTCTCTCTTTTTTTTTTTCGTTTCTTGCTATATTATGTTAAATGACAGGGTTGGGGATTTGCTCATGTACGCAAGATTAGTTGGTATAAACTTCAAATTTGTGCCTTTGCGGTCAATTTTAGGTTTGGTATTTTTTTTCATCCTCGTCTGATCTTGTAAACATCCAATCCTGTATTGGTTACAATGATATCCATACGCAATATTGCATCCTTATGGATCTTAGAGCGTAGGTTAGCATTGTTTGCGCCCATCAGTTTGATATCGAAATCTACATCAGAATGCCTTAGAGAAGCCAAGTGTAAGATTTTACTACAACTTTTAGTGTTTGCATTGTAGAATACTCATTGTGTTATAATCTAGACTAGCTATGCACGTTTGGCCTCCATGCCTGGAAAAACTTAGTAGGATTGGAATTTGCAACAAAGTACTCAGTGATGGCACATTAGTTGCTTCACCATTTCTAGTCATGGTCATTTGAGGAAGCCTTGTGTATTGTCTTGGACATAGTAGGGCTATATAGAATAGTCATTTGGCATCAAAGAAAAGAGAGAGAGAGCGTGATAAGCTTGAATTAGCAACTTTTTAGGCTATTTAAGTTCTAAATAGAGAAGAGGCTTTAGATGGAAGAAAAGGATTGGGTGCATGGAATGGTCGGGTGTCACATGGACTCCCGTGGATTCCGCTGGTGGATCCCTTTTGTGACCCAATAGCAACTTCTTCTTTAAACCCTTTTTTTTCTTCTGATTTTGATTATAAAGGAAAAAAGGGGAAAAGAAAATAGGGGAGAGACTGAGAGACATGGGGTTTCACTTGTGTACAACACAATCATCAATGACGAATGCTTCTCCACTCTCTTCCCATCTTTTTTCAACTGTTGCCTAGTGGTTGTCATTTCCTCTGTGCGTTGTTCCCTTACTGGGCCGTGCTATTATTTCCACATGTCTACTTTTTATTTCATTTTGGAGTCTTTATATATATATATATATATAAGTCATATATATATATATAAGTCTATCTATATTTTATGTATCAGTGCATGTTGTCTCTTTTGCTATGCATTGATATTTTGAAACAAATTCGGTTAATAGGTAAAGAACAAACTAAAGTTACTGTTGGACATGTCTTCCTTAACTAGCAAAGGTTTAATGGATGGGTTTGAACTATCTTTGTCTGATTTGTCTAGGGATCAGCGGCATTCATAAAGATGTTCCTTGCATGCATGTATAGCAAAACAATAACACATTCATGTCCAGGATGTTGAATTTGAAACAATGATTTTATTCTATATAGTTTCTTATTTCCTCCTATTTTGAAATTTTACAACTTGTTCCTTTGCACTAATGCTTTAGTAATTGTTGGTATTAAAAGCTTCTTTTTCTAATCACTAAGTGGAGATTACTTGTTAGAAAATTCTAGTGCAAATAATTTGAGCATTAATGGAATCAAACTTGCATAAAGATAATTTAGTTTGGTAGCAGCAAAGCAACATTATGGGGTCAGTATAGTCATAAGTAAAGGTGGTGGCTTTACGAAAAAGACCATAAGTGTTGTGGAAGCGTTATTTCCGGGGGTCATTCAAACTCCAAAAAGGCTCAGAAAGGTAACGTCGTCCTCTGACAAGTGAAGATAGAAGCTTAACTGTTCAGTCACTACAACAGTTTTTTTGACTGATCAATATGTGAAGCCTCGAAATTCTCTCCCTATCCTTTGTTTTTCCTCTTTTAACCCGCAGCCCTTGGTTCTCTTCTTTATATGCATTTTAGCTCTTTTCCTTGTGTTAGCTATTTTAGCCACTTGGCCATTTAGCCGAGCTTACTTGTAGACAAGTATCTTAGTATTAGGCTATTAGCTATGTTTGGTAGTGTTTTCTAATCTAACTATAGGCTTTGAATGGATAACAGAATAAATGCAGAATAAATGCAGTTAATCTATATATAAAATGATCTGTTTTTTTTACCATTCACAAATTTTATGCAGAACAAAAGATATTAATAGAAAATTAATAGATCTGCATGTAGATCTTTAATACTCTAAAAATCAAAGAAAAATAATTTTTTTCCAGAACTGCTGTAAAATAGTAGCTGTTCACCTAGTTCTACATGAAGATCTTATTTATTTTTTTATTAATATTTTTTTGATTTGCTTAAAATGATCTGCATTATATGATTTGTGCACCATTCAAAGCCATAGTAGCAGAATTTGCTTTCTTCTATGTCGAATTTTACTGCCATGCAACCTCCTACAAAATTTTATTATTGATTTTACACGTTTGGCTCATACGTGGGAGATATCAGATACGCTATATTGATCTTCCGCAACCGCATGACAATATATATTCTTCCTTATGTGAACATTCACAGATGATGGTGCGGTTTCATCTGACGAGGAACTGAGAGAAGGTGATGACGTAGCAACGCAGGACGGCCAACAAAGAAGCAATGACCGGGATCTCAAGGACCAGCTGCTGCGTAAATTCGGTAGCCATATCAGTTCATTGAAACTCGAGTTCTCAAAGAAGAAGAAGAAAGGGAAGCTACCAAGGGAAGCAAGACAAGCACTGCTCGATTGGTGGAATGTTCATTATAAATGGCCTTACCCCACTGTAAGTGTTTTTTTTTTTTTTTTTTTGTTGAGGCTTTTCTGATGGAGACGGACAATAAAATCATAGACGAAGTTTTTTTGTTTCGGTATTTTTATCATTTCCTAGGTTAACATTTTGGTGTGTTAAATATTTACATCCTAAGTCTATTAAAAATGTGTGTAGGAAGCCGACAAAATAGCTCTGGCTGAAGAAACGGGTCTGGATCAGAAACAAATCAACAATTGGTTTATAAACCAAAGGAAACGCCATTGGAAACCTTCTGAGAACATGCCGTTTGCTATGATGGACGATTCTAGTGAAACATTCTTTACCGAGGAATGAAAAAAAGAAACTACGAGGCATATATAATGCGTTGTATAATTTGACATTGTTTTGTACCAAAGAAAGCAAAAAAAGAAAAAAGACAAAAAACTTTGGTAAATGGGGGCGTCATGGCAAATGAATGGAACTCCTAGGCCAAAAGGAAAAGAAAAAAAAAGGTTACATGTACGGAGGAGGGCTTAACGAATAACGACGACCCTTTGTATTTATTTAGTGGCAATATTGTGTCACAGAAATCTTTCTCTGGTCCAATATGATGGCCTCCTAATTTGTTGTATTAAACCTTTACTTAGATAGAGTGATGTGTCAAACTCATACTTTATTCTTGTCAGGTTTTCTTTAATTGTTCGCAATTAAACTATTTTTCTTTATATAACATCAACATTTTTTTGTTTGTTTGTTAACAACCTGCATTGAACATGATATATCGATCCCTCATTATTGTGCATAATCTCATATAGTTGATTACTCCCTCACTAGTGTACATATTCTTATTTTATTACTCTCATAGACTATGTCTATAAACTCATGTAATCTTCTCAAATATACAACTCAATACAGTACAATAAACTTCAATATTGTATCAGAGCAGTTTAATCTTTTTGCATTCTATGAGAGTAATTATAAGGAGATTAGGTTCAATAATGAGAGATTAATCATTAAATTATGTACAATAACGAAGGAATGACCATAAAGATCAGATATTTTTCTTGATTTGTTATGTGAGTTTATCCTTAACATAAACTATCAAATAATTTAGTCCGATCTTTAGAAAATTGATCCAATGATTACCATATCTTTGTTTCATATGGGTCTTAATGGGCCACAGTAAACCGTATTGGGTCAAGTGAATTCGATAGCCCACGAATATCAGATACTTCATACTAGCAATGGTGTGACTAGTGGAGTAAAAAGAATCTGACTTCACTCTGTCACGCCCTTCAGGTGGGCTTCGCCGGAATACATCCCGCTGGTTCTCGATCACGACGGAGACCAGTGGTTGGTTGAGTTGGCTGATCGGAGGTAACTCATCAGCCGAATTTGTAAAGGAAGAGTTCCTTTTTTGATGTTATTTCCTGTGTATTATTAGTTATTACACAAATGAACTCACTATCGCCATTGCATATCTTCATACGTTATACAGATTACTCAATTTCACATCTATATATCTATACTAGCTATAGCTTCTCTCACTGGTTTTATACAAAAAGTTTTGATTTTTGTGCTTTTAGTTGTTCTTATAGTACCATTCTTTCAAAGGCTCATCATCTACCATAAAAGGAACTTTGCGCGATAGTGGCAAGAGATGCACAAGCAGCTGAATCTCCATCAGAACCATCTCGGAACTCCATGATTCTTTCATCCATAAACGGAGGATTACTTGGCAACGGCAAGTTTTCATCTTTGTTCTTTAGCATCCGCAACACCTTTGACATGGATGGTCTTAGCGATGCGATTTCTTGAGTGCACAAGAGACCTATTTGAACAACCCTCACTATCTCCTTTTTGATAGAGATACTGTCATTTTGATTCTTCCAGTTCAGGTTTGGATCATATATTTCCTCTAACTCTCCTGATTGAAAATGCTTCCATGCCTTTTTTTAAAAAGCCAAAACAAAAACACACCAATTAGCATGAGAAGTGAAAGATGAAAAATCAGTTTTTTTTTTCTTTTGTGGTCTAACTTACTTCTGTAATCAAACTGTCTGAGTAATCTGACATTTTGCTTTTGGTGTTCTGCTTTCCAGTTACAATCTCTAGCACAAGAACTCCGAAGCTGTAGACATCGACTTTCTCTGTTAGCTGACCATGTGCCAAGTACTCCGGAGCCATATAACCCCTGTAGATTCACAGGTATTGGATCAGAGATTCAGAACATATTATTTCAAGTTTCTGAAGTAACAAAATCATATCTTTTGAAGGAAAGCTGCATTTTTACTGAAGAAATACTTACAAGGTCCCTGCAATGGCAGTGCTGATATGGCTCTTATCCTCCTGGAAAGATCTAGCCAGGCCAAAGTCAGCGATTTTAGCTTGAAGCTTTGAATCTAGCAGGATATTGCTTGCTTTAATGTCTCTGTGGATAATTCTCACAGTCGACTGCTCGTGCAAATACACCAACCCTTCAGCGGTTCCAACAATGATCACATATCGTCTCTGCCAGTCTAGCGTTTTGCCTCTGTTAACATCTGCAAAAAGTAGCAATGAAGACAGGTATAGAGTGATTCTTGTTATCAAGGATTCCAATGAATAGTATTTGATGTGTTACCGAAGATGAATCGATCAAGGCTCTTGTTCTGAAGGTATTCATAGACGAGGAGACTCTCTGGTCCTGAGCAGTTGCAACCAAGCAGCCTGACAAGGTTCTTATGTTCAACACTGCTGATAATGTTTACTTCATTGTAGAAATCTGCTGCTCTGTGTCTGTTGTTGAAGAATAACCGTTTCACAGCAATGTCTCGTCCATCAGGAAGAACCCCCTTAAAACCAGAGAGATGCCACTAGAATCACTCATTTGCTTCATAACAAGATATGTATAGTTGCAGAGAGAAAGAAAAGAAAGCCACTAGATCATATTCATACAAAGCCACTAGATGATATTCATACCTTATAGACAGTTCCAAATCCACCTTGTCCAAGCTTGTTCGCGCTGTCAAATGATCCTGTGGCCTTCTCCAATGTCGAGTATTTGAAGTTCAAGCTACTGTCCGTTAGCGTTTTGGCCATTTTTTCGACATCATTTGGTCCTAAAGAAAACACCAAAAACCTCGGTAAGTAGAACAGATTGATTATTCCTTTAACGATTTATCAGGAATCAGAAATTTAGAATGACCTCTTCTCTTCTTCTGTATGGTTCGGTGTTTGCAGATATAAACTCCTATTGCTATTCCAACCATGAAGACAACCACAGAGCTAAGAACAGAGACCACAATCACTACTACAGAGCCTACAAAAAGTCAAATTAATCGGCAAAAAAATTGTCAGTTATGATCAATCTCAATGCAGATTCTATAGAAAAGATATATCTTTTTGTGTGTGGTCACCTCTGGATCTTCCGTTTCTTGGTATCTTATTCAAGAAATCTTGATCAGAGTACCTAAGAAAACATCCAGTGTGAAGCGCACGTCCCTCTGACCATGGCAAGCACTCATTAACCACAGAAGCAGAAGCATTCTCCAAACACTGTTTACAAGACTCAGGACTCAAGTTTCTCCAGCAATTCGCCAACACAAACGCAGATTCTTCAGATTCACCAGCGTTTGCAGACGCACGAGCGTACCCTCCATTCCCAGGAGCCTCACCAACAGCTTTCCTCAGCACTTGTCTCACGGCGTCCCCGAAAGTCGACTTCTTTCTCGTCGTGTTCCCACACACGACGCTATCTTCAGGTCCTTTGAATTCGTTGTAGAAGCTGTAGTTCTCAGCTCTCATGAAACAACCGTCGAGGAAGATTCGACCTCCGTTTTGAGGATAACACTGTGGAAGAATCGTTCTTGCTTCTGCGTAGCAGAGGACACAGTCGTTTAAAGGGAGGTCTCCGTAGCACTGAGCGAGACCGTAGTTAGCGTCTGGTCCTGAACCGGTGAGAGCGACTCCGAAACCGCTGGTTTGAACTTGTTGGCTGATTTTCTCCATTGTGGCTACGAAATTGGGGACGTAGACGGTTTCGTTGTGCTCCGGGAGTGGTGAGCAATTGACTTTAACGGTTCGAGCCCTTGCGTCTCCGGTGATTGGACGGAGTGATGAAAGAAGAAACATCAAGAGACATGGAAGATACAGAGGATGGAGATGAGTTGGTTCTTTCTTCATTTCTTATGTTTTTTGGTTGATTGAAAGAGAACTCCTTTTGTTTCGATCAAGGGTTCTGTGTTTTGTTTCAGGGTTTGAAATTGGGAAAGAGGAAGAAGCATAGATTGAAGAAGGAAAGGAATGATGATATTGAGGAAATTGAAAGAGTTGAATTTTTCAACAGCTTAGACTTCTTTGATCAAATGGGTGTGTGTAATAGTCAACCTAACTTGCTGTCTTTCTCTCTCTACTGGTTAGTCAAAAAGTTAATTTTTTTTTCTGTTTTTCTTATGAGATTTTTGGATATCTTCGAGAGAGAGAAAAAATGTGGAAGTTTCTTCTCGGATTCACACTTGGAAACCAGCACGATCATGTATTCATGTTGATGTTGAAGTCTTTGTCTTCTTTCAGATATTTGTCGGTTTTTATAAACCTAAATACGGTGGACGACCAATTATTAATTGAGCTAATCTGAAAGTGGAAGCCGGTTCGGTTTAATTGGATGATTCCCTTTACCGAATTCATTAATCAATTTCATTCATTTAGTTTTTCTTTTTCTTTCAATATTTTTCTGACAAGGTAACATCGACAATTCGACATCCCTTCCTCCATATTCAATTTTCTGAATATTTAAGAATATAACAACTAACAAAAAAAAAAAACTTCACATGTCCGTTAGTAAGACGGCGTTCAAAAAAATAAGATTAAGAAACGTAAAATGGATAACTGACGTTAGAATACCTTAAAAAAAGAAAAGGAGAGAAATGGTGTAATGGTAATTAGTACATTTAAAGTTAAGAAATTTTCTTAAAAAATTTACCAATTGTCAAAAGTTTTTTAGTCAATAAATACGAAGTAAGTGGGTAGTAGTTGGACAATTAATTCAATGTTGAAAAATGCTGAACACAGTTAGTTAGAAACAGGGAAAAAACTTTTCATATACTCACAACTCAGTATAACAAAAAAAAATGCAGACGTAAATAAACAATCGTAAACTTAATCATACTATAAGTTATAAACAAATCTAATGAATCGTAAACCAAATCATTAAACCATTTTACAAGAAATATGCTATAAAAAGATACAATTTATTAACCGGCTCCACACTCAGATGAGTTCAGCTGCGATAAAGCAGAGCCAGCTCAGCATAAATAAACAAAAGATACTACTATATCATAGACATGTCGATTACATTTTCTTCATTCAGAAAAGTTGTTGCAATTCTATCTTCTTCTTCCTTATAGATCTCTGGATCTGGTGTGAGGAGATATTTGTTTTATGAACATTGGTCTTCCATTTCTATCTCCATCTCATTCTCTTATCAATTTCATATGAATTCCTAATTTGTTTGTATCAAAAGTATCATTGTAATGTTAATTGCATTTTCTGTTGTTTAGCTTGTTCTTTCTCTCTTAAGATAATCTTATAATGGATATTGCTATCCAAATATGTAAACAATATAGCTTTTATATAAAGAATATGAATATCAATGAGAATCGATAGTTCAAAATCTGACATGTCACCAACTTGAGCCTTAACCTTAATCCTGACTTTACTACAGTACAACCTCTTTCTATTCTACTGAACAATTTTAGTACGGAGTTTCATATCAGCTTCAACATTCATTTGGTTTGACATTCATTTGGTATGTCATTATTGGAAATAATTTGGATAGCAAGATGTTTAGCAGACACATCTTGGGAAAATGATATACTTTTTTTGTTTTTCAGATTCCTCAGAAGGATTGGCTCGGTTAAACAACAAATATGGAGGTTCTGAGCATTTTTCATCAGCAAATACATGGTGTGGCAGACACATCTTGCTCTCCAAATTATTTCCAAGACATATTCGTTAAAAGATTTGCATATATCCCAGTTTAAGACAGTTTCCAGATAAAAAATATCTTCCTATACAGAGATATATTTTTTTAATAAATATTTCATGTATCTAATTTTATTTTTTTGTTTTCGTAGTTATAAATGTTAGAGCTCATTATGACAAACACATTGAAATGGTTCATTTTCCAGATTTCTTCACTTTATTTCTTCACTTTATGAAAGATTTCTGAATTTTTGTGCATGGAGAATTCTGTGAAATCAACCATCTCCATATGCTTTTCATAGAAATATTGCTACAACATAAAACTATGAAAATGAAATAAACAAATCAGAAATATGAAATAACATACTTATTTAAATATAAACTGATTTATTAAAATATTACTTTCATGTGTAATAACCGGCTACTGCCCTAACATTGTAATGGAATGTAGGCCGATGTTTAAACATCTACCGGTTGCCATTGTCAAAATTACTCAGATAAATAATTTGTGTTGTGTTAGAACAAAAAAAAAGTAATGTATATCTCTGTCACCCAAAAAAAATGTAATTTAAAATGCTTTGTTGTCACACTCACATCTCATCATTCAACAGCGACTTCGATTTCATGAGAATACCCTGATCGATTAATGTTTTTGGAATTGTGATTAGTACATGTCAGTTACTTTAGAAATAATTTTGGAAAGTTGAAACGCAAATAAATTAGTGATCAAGAAACACTATTATAACCTAACATACAAATCAAGAACAGACACAATCACACAACAAACGGTAACAAACATTAAAAAACGGTTGTAATCTTAATCTTACTATGATTATAATCTAAAAACAAAGCTACCGAATCATAAAAAGAGACTAAACCGGAGTCTGCCCTCCACCATGTGAGCTCTAAACAGTGTCCACTTCCTAGCTTATAAGACATTGCCGTGGCTCATACGTTACCCTCAATTAGTTACACACGATTAATTAACATCTCAGTTTCTGTACATATAACACAGATTCCAGAATCCATCAAAAACGATTTTGATATAAACCGATTCTAAAGCTCATCTAGGTTCGAAGAAACTCTCAGATATGATGTTACTCCTCGAACCCGAAGATTGAGTCTGATCTTGCTGATGAGAATCCGTCGTGTGAGAGTGAGACATCATCTTTCTCATCTCTGCAACACTCCCTGGATTCAGAAACGGCGGTTGCGTCGGCGTTTGAATCTCCAAATTCCCTTTCATCATTTTCACAACCGCAGACATCGCAGGCCGCTGATCAAACGCTGCTTGAACGCAGAGCAGCCCGATCTGAAGCAACCGCGACGCTTCGATCTCGTTGAAATTATCCCCCAAAATTGGATCCACTACCTTAGTCAGATTGCTTGTTCCGTACAAACTCCATACCTAAATATTTTTTGTTTTCAAGAATTCAAGAAAAGGGTTTGAGCTAAAAACCAATCCTTCAAGAAAAAAAAAAAAGCTAATTGCTTTCAAAGAATTACCGTTTGGAGAATCGAACTAGCGTCTTGTGACAAGGCATTGTTACGTCTTCCTGTGATAACTTCAATCATAAGAACTCCAAAACTGTAAACGTCTGCTTTCTCAGTCAGTTTTCCTCTTACCACATATTCTGGCGCCATATAACCTCTGTTTTCACAAGTGCAAAAACTTCAAATTTCAATCGAAAAAAGATGGTACGTATAATCAAGGTTACAAAAATCAGTTTTGAGACATTACAGTGTACCGGCGATGGCAGTGCTGATGTGAGTCTTGTCCTCAGGGAACAATCTAGCCAATCCAAAATCAGCGATTCTCGGAGTAAAATCATGTTCCAAAAGTATATTACTCAGCTTAATGTCTCTATGTATGATTCTCAGATTCGACTCTTCGTGAAGATACGCCATTCCTTCTGCTGTGCCAAGTAAAATCTTGAACCTCTTCGCCCAATTCAAAGGTTGAACATCTTGCCTTACTAAACCACAAAAGAGAAGTAAGGAACCACTAAATATATTTATTGGGACATGGTAACCGCCAAAAGAAAGGTTTAGGATGAGAAAAAACTAACCAAAAAGATAGTCGTGGAGGCTTTGATTCGCAATGTACTCATATACAAGAAGACTCTCCGGTCCAGTTATGCTACATCCCAAGAGCTTCACAAGGTTCTTGTGATCGATTTGGCTTATTAGATTGACTTCGTTGAAGAAATGATCCACCCATTGTTTTGTGTTGAAGAACAGTCTCTTCACCGCAACAGTCTTACCGTTAGTTAGAACTCCCTATTCCACACAAAAAAAAAAAGTCCAAAGAATTAACCAATTGAAGAATAGGAACATCCAAAGAAGAAACTACAAAGAAACAGAACTTACCTTATATACAGAACCAGATCCTCCTTGTCCTAGCTTATTTTTGTCGCTGAAGTAATCGGTGGCCCTCTCGAGATTCTCATAGGAGAAACAGAGATTAGATTTGTTGGCAAGCATGAATAGTGACCCTAGTTGCTTCTTCTCTACATTACATTACACAAGAAAAAGAAAAAATCTTTACAACAACTACTCAAACTTCAATGCTTAATCTCAAAAACTATGCTACTTCTGGACCAAATTGATTCAACAAAGAACTCAATTCAGAAACACTCAGAAGTCACAAACCTCTTTGCTTCTTGGCGCGTTTCTTTTTAAACAAGAAACCAGCGACAGAGACCAACAAAACAAAAGCCACCACCGAAGATGTAACCGCCAAAATCACAGCCAAACGGTTACGACCTGATCAACAAAAATTGTTGCTAAGTCAGTGTTCTCTCATAACATTCCACAAAATGCTACAACATATACTAATTCTAATCACATTTGAAGCTTATCTACTTACCACCGTTTCCATCTGATGTGGAGTTTCCAGAATTGTTGTAAAACTTTTGAGTAGAAAACCTCATATAACAGCCAGCGTTAAGAACTCGACCTTCTTCTTTATCCAAACAAGAACCAATCTTCTCTGAAGCTTTCCTAAGACACTCAACACATCCACTGCGATTAAGAGGCTCCCAACACTGAGCCAAACCATGAACCGTCACGTTACGTCTTTCCACAAAGCCAGCATAGAATCCACCATTTCTCACCGCCTCCACGCTCATATTCCTCACTAACTCCGCCGCGTTATCCCGGAACAGAGTCCGGTTTACTCCGGTTATCTCCTTCTCTGCACAAACCGTCCGGTCTTGCAAACTTAAGGTCTCGTTGAAGAAATTGTAGTCGTCATACCTAAACAAATGATCAAATCGATATAACCTAATCAGACCAAAAAGTTGAGATTTTTGCAAATAAAAATGTGAGATTTTTTGTGAGTGAGATGAGAACCTGATGTAGCAACCATCGGAGAAGACTTGACCACCACGAGTGCCTCGTTGAAATGGACGGCAACGAGGGACTTTAGCTTTGATCTGAGCGAAACACAAGTCGCAATCTTTCTTATCGAGATCTTTCATACACTCTCCGTAAGCGTAGACGGTTAAGTTTCCGGTGCCGTTGACCACTTGGCCGTAGCCTTTGGCTTCAACGAGTGGTGAGACGGCGTCCATGGCGGCGAGGAAACTGGTGACGAAGAGACTTCTCTGCTGCGGAATCGTTGTTCTGTTGCTGCATATCTGAGCCACCGTCTCTCCTCTCGAATCGGAAATTACAGGGTTTAAGAGAAACCCCAGAAGAAGAAGAGTGAGGAGATGTAGGAAGAAGAAAGAGAGATTGGATTTGAAATTCGACATCTTTGGTTTTTGAGTTTAATCTTTTGAAATCGAGCAAGGTTACATTTGTTTTGGTTTTTTTATCTTTCCTCTGTTTCTCTTCAAACTGATTTGGAGATAGAGAAAGTTGTGTAATTTCGATTTTCTTCGATTGGGGTTGTTGGGTCAAACGAAAAAAGAAAAACCCTGAAATGGTTTCAACTGAGTTTTTTCTTCTTTTTGGGAGAGATGATGATGGGTGTGGAGAGTCAACGGAAGACTTTCTCTCTGATAATTACTTCATAATTCAACGAAAGAGAACGGTCGCATTTTGGATGGTGAAATGGTAAAAACGACGCCGTTTACAGTTATGGATGAAGCATTACGTCATCGTTTTGTCACTTTTCCCTCTCTTTAATGTTCTGCTTTGGCACCCATTGGCCTTATGTTTAAAACATTCTGTTTTAATGTTCTGTTTTTTTCCCTACTTTGTTTCCCTCTCTTTAATGTTATGTCGTCATTTGTGTTGAACTAGTTACAGTGTTAAGATAATTATCAGGAGACCCTTTCTTTTTTGGGCCGAGAGAATTACGAGATCATCTACAAAAATAAATAGGATTATCATTGTTTTTTGGGTAAATAAATAGGATTATCATAGTTTAAATTGTTTTAGGAGTTTAAATGTGTATCAGGAATTCCAAAATTTCTATCCAGCTGCTAAGTGCAAACAATCTAATTTTAATTATTTAAGTCCCGATTTTTTTCTTCTTTTATGCATTTATAGTCACAAGTCTATAGTATATCTATCTGTATATGTTATAATAATAAGAATGGTATAACAGTTGCAAAAAATAATTAAAATAAAAGAAAACTGAAACGAAAATGGGAAAACAAGCAATCTGAGCGAAACATATTGATAATAATTTTCTTAAGAGAAAAAAAAATAATAGTAATAATAATTTGTAATTCAATTATATGGTAGTTTTACGGCGTGAAGTAAAAAACTAAATTACACACATGAATAGTCATGAAACTAAGCACAGACAGTTGAGGATCAATATATATATATATATATATATGGAAATTTTCTGAAACGTTTTCTTCGTAGTATAGGTATGAGAAAACATAAGCAACTTAAGGACCAGGTCTCTCTGCCGTATTGTGAAGGTCGTCTCTAGATCAAAGCAACTTCCAATCATTCTTTTGAATTTTGATGGCGTAATCCGTACTGTGAGAGCCAGCAACAGTCGTCTCTAAGTAAAAGCAACTTCAATTGTTATTTCTACACCTCTATTCATCGACCACATCTTCTTCAACCTTCAATTTCCCGCACATTTTGTATTTCTTATATTTTCTGAAAATCAATCAAATCCTCAAAGATGGTCTTTTGTGAAAATTCCGTTTCTGGTATAGCATCATGTGAAAGCCCTTTTATTGCAAAGGTATGATGCTCGATAGATATGCTGTACTTTGGCTGTGAACAACATAGTGTGTTTATTTTTGTTCATTTTGAGATCATAGAAAATAATTATTAAAAAAAAATCAATTACACAAGTATATGTGTAAATGTCATTGACTTAATTTTTTTTGTTTACAGTGAGTGCATTACGAAAGTATCTCTGCTTTTTTTACCATTTATTGCATAATTTCTATGAGTCTATGTTAATCATAAAACATTAGTAATTTACAAAACCTAATTGAAAGTCCGTGACTATTTCAACGCAAGATCTGGATTTTGTCACGGATCGCAATGTATAATCTAAAAAGTAACGCGGTTTGTGAAATTATTGGTACAGATACGGAGTCTGACGACGAATAACAATCAAATTGTTAAGTCGCTAAAACATAAAAAAAAATTAGGGAAATTGTCGGTAGTTCTCTGAAAAAACAAAAAAAAATGTAGACCTCTGGGTCCCTTAGTACTCGACGTATAGAAGCAAAACGACCAGCTTGTGATGATCAAAAGTCGGCGTCAACGTCAACTCCAAGCTACTAAAACCATGCTTGTAGCATTATTGATATCTACTTGCATTAATCTATGCATTATTGCCAAAAACAAAATCCTTACAATCATACTCTTATCTTAAGAATCTAAGCTAGACCGTATATTGAAATGACAGTCACTAATACTTTGGTTGTATATTTTTCTTTTTGTTGTTTTTTGATGAAATGATGCGTTTAATTTGAGTCTACGATTTGATATGCTCCAAGACTTTTCTTCGGCCGACGAAACGAATAAATCCCGAGGTTGATGTGCACGTTAGTCAATCAATTTCAAGATCTTAGGATTAGTTGCCAATTTAAAGATATATAATTCCATCTTTGACTTATGTTTAAGGTGTGCCCACCAATTGCGCCGCCGCCATCTAGAAACACCAGTACATGACTAATTAGTAAAGTGATATGATAATTTCTTGTTTTGTTTTCGCAATATCTCAAATTTATAATCCATAGAAAGAAAGAAGACTCAACAACTCACTAAAGAGATGGAATTATAGTATGAACAAAACTAAACAAATCAGAATTTGCATTTTTTGTAAGGAAGTTTTGCTAGTTCTCCCTCTAGCAGCTCTCGCTAAATCTCAACCGTATCAATAATGTTTTCATGAATCCCAACCGCAGGTATCAATAATGTTCAATCAGTGATATCAAAAGTTCCACAAATTTTACAAGATGTCACTACTACCTCTGACTTTGGTGGATTGAAACATGTTTATCAGTGTAAGAATTTTATTTTTTTTACAGTAATACATGCATTAATTTTGCCTGCCATTATTTGCTATCTTAGAATCGAAAATCATAAGCCAAACCCTTTAATGCCCATACGATTGATGCCCTTCATTATACGTTGGTTTATTATTTTGTTATTGTTTTTCAACGTTGTGGGTCATCAAAAACAGTTGATAACGTGTAATTTACATTGTGGAAATTATGGTTTTGATTTGATGGATGAGTTTCAACAAATATCTAAAACATGATGGGGCAAATTACAAAAAATTATAATAAAATAAAACTTGTAAGATAGAACAAAAAAAAAGATACAGTAAAACCTCTATAAATTAATAATGTAATGTTGGGACCATGATATCTTATTAATTTATCGTGATATTAATTTATAGAGAAAATTTGCTTTCCGCATATAATTTTCTAAAAGTTTTATTGGAATAATGTTACATTTCAAAATTTTAACAAATCTCATAGTATTAATTATAATTAACAACCATAATTATCGTAATAAAATAATTTTAAACACTATATTGAATTGTCCATATAAAAATATACATGTTCATAAGTTTAAAATTTATAAAAAAAAACCATGGCTACTATCAGTATTACTGATGGATAAAGTTGAAGATAACACTACAATACATTTAAAAACATTTACAGATAAGAAAATCAATTATTACATCAAAAAAACATCATCAATTTTGAATATATATAGTAAAACAGCAATAAAATTTACTGATATAATAATTAGAGAAATGAAAACCAATGAGATTTTAAATTTAAGTAAAAACATATACATTAGTCATATTTAAGAATATTATATTTACATATATTTGCATAAATTTATATAATTATTAATTTATGTTTTTGTTGGGACCATATATTTACATAAGGGTTTAAAAAAACTTATTATCTTATTATCTTATCGAAATTTGATGGATTTTTACATTGGTCCGACTTAGGACCAGCAAAATTTATTAATTTATCGAATATTAATTTATAGAGGTTCTACTATATTCTGTTTCTCAATGGGCTTTATTAGAGATTTTTGTCAACATGGGAAAGCCCGAATCAGCATGGACTGGGAATTAAACAAACGGCCATTTTGCAATTTGATTCATCGGCCATGAGTCCATGACAGAGCTATTTTGAAGCGTATAGTGAAGAATTGAAAATTCTATAATTCGCATGTCCTCAAACAAAAACAAACTATCGAAGGCAAAAAAACGCATCATAAGACCATAATAACCAATGAACTAAATTTAATATGTCTCTCTAATTCACCGGTGACAAATTATTTCAACTCTTTTCCTCAAAGAGTACTTTCTAAAAATATCAACTTTTCTTTAGCACATGCATACACATATAAATAACCAAATTCCCTCTCTTCGTGCAAATAATCAACAATTCTAATCCCACAAACCTTAAAAACACAGCTAACATATACATACACACAAATATATAACATGTCACCAAATCACCACCTTGTCACGGTGGTTCTCCTCCTCCTGACGGCGAGTCAAAGCGGCGTAGCAAGATCACCGGGTGGGCGAGATCCATGCTCTGTATCGGATTTCAAGGTGCTGTGCAGATCAGTCGTGAAGGGCCAAAAAAACGTTAACGCAGCGACGGAAGTTTCCATAAGAGAGCTGATGAAAAGAACCAAAAAGGCGAAAGAAGCCGCCGCGAGTGGCCGGAAAAGTGGCGGAGGACTCAAGACATGTTACTCAAACTACGATAGTGCGCTCGAGAATCTACAAAAGGCGTTGAATGACATTAAAAAGAACGATGGGTTTAGCCTTAACATCAATCTTAGCGCATCTTTAACGGAGTTTGATACATGCAACGACGCTATGGCCGGTGCTGACGCATCGAATGTGTTTGCTAAATCTACAAACATTTTGCATGAAATGGCTGATAATTGTTTGGCCCTCTCTACCCTCGTTAAGCAGTAATGATATCAAACAAAATGTGATTGTTGAGGGTGGAAAACAAAAGTTTCTTTCTGCATGCGGTTAGAGATTTTTTTTTTTTTGGCTTTTTGTTTTTTGTTTTTTGCGAGGGTTCTCGTTTCTTGGTTAATTTCAAGAGTTTATTTTAAACAAAAAAAATCAGAAAATGGAGGAAAAAGAAGAGAGAGATTCACGTACAGTTTCGGTATGTTTGGGCACACATCGTATGATTATTATGATAAACATACATTATTCAGTATTTTAACAACAAACTTCAACTATAGTTGATGATGTTTCGAAAAAAAAAAAAACCATTGCAATTTAGTAGAGTAGCTGGATGGGTTAGACGAGCCCATGTAAAGCACAATATAACAAAACTTGAAGCCCAATTTCGTCAGTAAGATAAGCGACGGTCACATATGCAGCATTAATCATCATGTGCATCATGATGATGTAGCTGTAATACAGTGTGAACGTGCATGGTCCTAAGTATAGTCACGCCGCTTTGTGAAACATATTATTCACAAAATAATGTGTAATCATAGTCGAATGCCGAATCGTTTAGTATAAATATAAATATTTCGACAATACTTGCAAGAAAGAGTACTTAATGGATTCTTGATTAACTCAAAAATAAACTATTTAACCTCGTGGAAGAAAAAGCTGAGCATGGGACGGCTTTAGACAGCATCATTGGTATTACATCAAATTGTTGTATCCTCCTTTTGCTTCAATATTCCTCTTTTTCTTCACCTTTTTTTTCACATTCTCTTTCTCCCTCTTTTAGTTAAAAAGAGACTAGACTGTATGATTTTTAAAAAGAAAAGACTACACTGTTTTAGTACAGACTGAATGCTAGATCTTTAAATTTCGTTTTCTATAATCATTCACACTTCACACAGAGATGGTGTAGTGGAATTTATGATGAGGAATCGGCCATGTTGAGTTATGCCTAGTTTTCTGGAGTATGAAAACGACAATATCATGTTGTAGTCACTTTATCTTGATAATTTTTGAATCTACGTCGGAATTAAATATCTATAATAACCAGTTTACAGAGAATTTATAACGTTTATTGGTCTACATAATGAATCTTACGTAATATTACGTCAAAACGTTGGTAAGCATAAAAGCTGATGTGAAGTGATGATTTTATAGTCTCTGATCAGTGGTCAATTAATAAAAATTCGTAGTGTTTCATGTTTCAATTAGTGGTCGCAATAATTCTCCCCCACGAGTCATAATTCAGAGATTGGTATAGAATATAGAAAAGCACTCCTATGAGCCACCAAAGCCATTGCCCTTTGATGCCATTCTTTTTGTTGACAAGAATCAAATTCTACCGCTTTATAACTTTTACGTACATTCTTCTCTATTTGGATTAAATTCGTCAAATTGAAATCATCTTAGAATTTTGACATTTTCTTAGTAAAAAAGGGAAAATCTCTATATCATTGACTCTAGGTTAAAGGCTTTTAGAGTGAATCAATTTCAACATCCAAAATAAATGAGAATTGTGTGTTTGAGTTTGGGTGTACAAATAAGGTCATGCTGTGCCAAACACAATCATAAGTTGGTATATGGTCAAGTGTCAACTCTATCTCTGTATAAATAATTAAATAAAGCAACGAACAAAAAAAACAGTATGGTAAAAGTCCAAAAAGAGAAAAAAAAATTAGATGCCATATTAATTTTTGAATAAATTTGCAGGGCGATGACCCATTAAGAATAAATGGGCTAACAAACGATCATCAATGTATATGTGTCCCTACGAGGACCGCACCCACTTAATTCTCCAACTTAAAGACCTATTGACCTGCTTTCATTATAATGACCCACTTATAATCATTATCTTAAATAAAATGATTTTTAGTTCAAAATATCTTAAATAAATATTAAAATTTTCTATTTGACCAAAAAAAATATATATATATATATTAAAAATTTCTATATTATACTAGAGATATAGAAATAGTTTTTTTTTTGGGTAAAGAAAGATGTAAGGATTGTTGTACATTTGTAGTTGCGTGATAATTAAATGTATATTTTATATATTCAGAAAAAACGTATTTAATGTCACTGGAATCGTATAAACTTGGTCAACATACATACGATATGAGTATGCATGCTTGGTTAAATAGCTCCCTCGATCTTAAGAGACAATATGATTATGTTTTGAAGAATAGACACTCTCGAGTCTCGACAATTTAATTTCACAACTAGACACTCTCGAGTCTCGACAATTAAATTTCACAACTTGTCCTGTGCTACTTTTGAATCAATAAACTCGCTTTGTGTTCCGCAAATTCGTAGTTTTTGTTTAGATTTATACTATTTCTAGTTATTGTGGTATATTCTTCTTCCAGCTTGGAGAAAAGATTAGAAGCATATTTTAGTCTCTGATTAAAGAGAATACGTACCGTAAACTCAAGACTTCTTGAGTTCTTAATTACAAAGAAAGTCTCATATATATCTTTGTTTCAAGCCTTTGAGAATTCATAAGTCAAAAAAACATTTCATTATTCCACAAGCAACATCTTCGAATAAAATATGTTAGCTACGTCATATTTTCTTAATCACAACATGTAACATAAATGTAAATTGTACAGTACTCTACATAAAGAAAAGAAGTGGAAAGAGAGAGTACTAGAGTAGCACTAGAAAGCAAAAAAAAGCTTGAAGAAACCCAAATTCAAAGGTACTCAATTTCATCTGAACTCTGGTCCCTTTCCACAAACCAAATAATGATCACACCAAATCCAAGTTTCCCTATAAATTACAGTTCTCAGATAAATATTAAAGTTTACTTCTCTTTCTCTATTAACCATCTCTGTTCTTTTATTCATTTACTTCTTAATCTTTCAAGTAATCTGCAAAACCCTTGAATAAAAACTTCTGATTTAAATCCCTAAACCCAGTGTTTATACCAACTTATATATGTACCCACATGCCCAAAACTTTCGCAACACTCAACCCTAATAAAATTGTGTTGATTCCATTCATTATTGTTTTATTGATCTTCTGGGTTTTCTTTGAGAAAGTGATTATGTGTTTAATGTGTTTGTTGGGAGATGTGTCAGTAACATCAAGTAGACGAACAGCAATAAGAAGCCGTATTAAATGTTGTCTTTTGAATCACACAAGAAGAAGAAAACAACAACACATCAGATGTTTTCATCATCATCATACTCAACACCAAGATTCGGTTAAGTCCTTTACGATGGTCTCTTCTACCTTTCTCAGATTGATTCTGTTACTCTGTCTCGTCTCTTCTTCATTCTCCTTCACCGCCAATTCTACTACCGCCGATCAAACTCTCCGGCCGCAAGAAGAGCTGCAGAAGCTGAAAGTGATTAGACAAGAACTCCAGAAGATCAACAAGCCCGCCGTTAAAACCATTCAGGCATTTTGTCTACTCTCCTTAGCTGTCAATACGATCATACAGATCTCTCCCTTAACGTTATTTCCAATTGAGTCGTCGCAAAAACGAGTTCTCTAGGGATTCACTCGATCTAGTTTCAGTAGTTAACCGACATGCAAGCTTTGTTTTCTTTTCTTTTCTTTAAACTTAAAAGGCTTTTAGCTTTGGTTACTCTGTTTCTTACTCTGTTTCTTCTATGCGTTATGTTTTTTGCAGAGCTCAGATGGAGATACAATAGATTGTGTTTTGTCTCATCAGCAACCTGCTTTCGATCATCCTCTTTTACAGGGACAGAGACCAATGGTAATTTACCTTTCCCTCTTCTTCTCCATTATATTTTTCCTTTTAAAGATAATATTATATGAAAGAATTCAATATTTTTGATTATAGGATCCGCCTGAGATCCCGAAAGGATATAGCAAAGATGATGAATCGTATGAAGATTCTCAGCTATGGAGTTTATCTGGCGAGTTTTGCCCGGAAGGTACGATTCCGATCAGAAGAACAACCGAACAAGACATGTTACGAGCAAGTTCTGTCCGGAGATTTGGTCGGAAAATCAGGCGCGTGAGGAGAGATTCCACCAGTAACGGACACGAAGTAAGTGGCCAATTTTTCAAATACCATAATTAACTAAAAAAAGTCAGAGGTTTTAACCTTTTTCTTCCCCATAAAGAAAAAGATATATAGAATGATACCAAAAATCAGCTTTTTGCGTAATTCTTTGCACGACCATAATAACACTTGCTTGTATCCAAACTCGAATGTCAAGTCTATTTTCAAGCACCCCAAAAAGAAAAGATAGAAGCGTGACATTACTTAGATTATTCTCTGTTCACATCGTAAAAAGATTATTCTCTGTTCCTTTTTTCTCTTTTTCTGTGTTTACAAATTTACATGAAATTTCAGTGGAACTTAATTTATTTATTTGTTTTTACCAAATTTGAGAATTATTCATTTGCTGATTAAAAGAAAATGAATACCTGTGTAGCATGCGGTAGGATATGTAACCGGGAAACATTATTACGGAGCAAAAGCGAGTATTAACGTGTGGTCGCCACGTGTCACTAGCCAATACGAATTTAGTCTTTCCCAGATTTGGGTTATCGCCGGTTCGTTCACACATGATCTCAATACCATCGAAGCCGGTTGGCAAGTACGTCATATTTTTCTTTTATCTTTTATTCTTTTATTATCTTTTATTTACTGGAGACTAATTAAAAAGCATTTTCATTTCCTTGCATACAGATTAGTCCAGAGCTATACGGCGACACTTACCCAAGATTCTTTACTTATTGGACGGTAAATGTTTCCTCCAACTTTAATTAGTTTTGTAAGCTAAAGTAAATAATTTTCTTGAATTAACATTTTGTTAACAATGTTAGTGATAGTGATTTTCAGTCCGATGCATACCGAACAACTGGTTGCTACAATTTGTTGTGTTCCGGTTTTGTTCAAACCAACCGTCGAATTGCGATCGGGGCTGCCATCTCTCCTAGATCTTCATACAAAGGTGGACAATTCGACATAAGCTTATTAATTTGGAAGGTAATTAAATTTCTTCATTTCTCCATATATTTAGGTATTCGTTATTTAGTTTTTTACCTTATGCTATGGCTTTATTTGGTAAGTTGCAGTATCGCATATAATGATTTCATGATTATATGCAACTTAATACTGATCACAATCTAGAATATACAATTTTGTGAATCACCTAAATATTTCTTGTTTAATCCATTCTATATAGTTTTCTATTTTCTGCTAATTAATCAAAAACGTTACCAGACAACTCTAATAGCTAAGAAAGAATTCAAAGCACATGGTTCACATCAGTTCTTCCTGTTGTCAACCCAGCTCATAATTAAAGATGTGTCTCCACAAAGTGTTGAATACTTTGAATTTGTTATAGTCATAATTAATAAATAACAATGATATATTAATGCAAATTTGTAAAATTTACGTACGTATAGGATCCAAAACACGGTCACTGGTGGCTACAATTCGGGTCGGGTATATTAGTCGGGTATTGGCCGGCGTTTCTATTCACGCATCTAAGACAACATGGGAGCATGGTCCAATTCGGCGGTGAGATTGTGAACACACGACCCGGTGGTTCACACACTTCGACACAAATGGGAAGTGGCCATTTCTCCGGTGAAGGTTTTGGTAAAGCATCTTATTTCCGGAATCTCCAAATGGTTGACTGGGACAATACTCTTATTCCCGTTTCGAATCTAAAGATTCTCGCTGATCATCCCAATTGTTATGATATAAGAGGTGGGACGAATCGTGTTTGGGGTAACTATTTTTATTATGGAGGTCCAGGAAAAAACCCTAGATGTCGTTGAAGAATCAAGAAAACGTTACTATTTTTTTTTTTTACATGTAGTGCTAATGAATCTTGGGATTAAGGGAGGGATAAAATTAGGAATGATGAGCGAACATAATCCATCTTAGTTGAGAAAATGGTAAGTATAAAGTTTGGTAGTGTTATACTTTTATTTCTTTGTTTTTTTTGAAGAGGAATGTGTGATGGCGTTACAGATTTTATAATGCCTATATTGATTAGTCATTAGTGTTACCAATGTGTGAATCATGTGAATACTATTCATAAGTACCTACCGAGTGTAAGTTTTGCTTTGTTATGTCGTACTTTTTCTAATCTAAAACTAAAAGTTAGATGCAGAATTAAAATGGTCAGATTCGTCATTCGTGGACCAAAAGATAAGTTCTCTGTGGAAATAGTATCAATTAGTTGTAGCAGAGTTCGAATAATTAATTGGGAATTGTTATAAATGTAAATTCTGACGATTATATATTGAGCATTAACGTCACAACTATCCAGTTTTATTGTATAAAATCTACTACGAAGAATTAAGCAAGAAGAAAATTAGAGGTGGAGATGTATTTACGTGGGACCATAAATTAAAATGCCAATTTTAATGGCCTTCATTAATCGCCCCATGTGCCTTCTTTATTACTTTAGCTACAACACATTTTCCAAGTTCCTCAAGAATTATTTGATCCTACAGTTCAATAACATTTTTATTCCCTTAGTTTTAATCTTAGTTTTACTATACTATTTGGAGTGTAACAACAACTAGCAATGGTCCAAATCTCAATTCCAGTTGTTTTCCCGCTTTTCGTAATGGACCATGTTTATTTTGTATATTTCTCATTAATATATCCATGCAGATACTTTTTACAGCAATCTCATTTTCATGGCTGGGCATCACAATCATATCTCATGTTACATTTAAATAAGTATTAATTTGAAAATAATATTACAATTATAAGCTACACTCGATTTCAAAAATCTCTAAAACACTAAATAACCATAACACTATATAGGGTGTGTAAAAGAAGTGTTAAATAAACTATTTACTTCAAGTTCAACCAAAAAGAGTGTTGAACATAAATACCTACCTGCTATTACTGAAATATAGGCCTTCAGTAGGCCCAATAATCGTAGTTGAAAACACTAGACTAGACTAGTCGAATATACGCACTTGGTCATTTTGGGGTAACACAAAGTTTACGAACTGCTAAAAGTGAATATCGATCCCATATTCTGAACAATGCACAAAATCAAATGTTGGTCGTTTCGTTTATAACCATATTGATAATTTTACATAGTATATTTTTTAATTTTTTTTTTTATTAAAACAGACGTCCAAAATATTTAGTTTGCGGTTGTTTTTGGTTTGGTTTGTCTGTTTGTTGGGGGCTAGACACTGAAGCGAAATACAAAAAAGAGTATTCATAATTCTATTTATTTCAATTTGATTCAACTTAGATATTCAGAGTGGACCAAGATCGATTTAGTTAATAGAAGTATGTGTATAATGATTATTAATACTCTATTTATGTAATATGATTACATTTATTTTGAGTTAATTCCATATTTTTGAAAATTTTATACATCAATTTAAATCTAAGGTATATTCCATTTTGGATTTTGGGTTTAATAAGAAAAAACCTCCGTGCTGGTTTTTTGGGCGTGTTTATCCGATGTGTTTTTTCTTGTAACGATTGTTGTAGCTCATTCTCAATAGGAAGGTTGAGAAAAATCTTTAAGTTAAAACTCAAAAATCGGAAGGTTGAGAAAGAAAAAAACAACCAAAGCGATGGTCCGATCACCCATATGAAAAGAGAGCGGAATATGATTAAGATTCTGTCTGTATTTAGTTAACATTGACTACAACACTTTTCATTAATGAAAAGCTAAATCGACGACAAGTAACAAGAACAACGGCGATTAGAGTGGAAGCATGCACGAAGCATGCGAACCGACTCATCATGTTCTTGTCCTTACTCTCAGCGTTTAAACAACGTAAGCTCGCCATTTGGCAAACACGATCACAGAATATATTAGTACAAATGAGAATATTACTAAAAAATTAAGGATAATTAAAAGGAAGGTGAAAATGCAATCATCAGAGAGTGGACATTTTAAAGTCAAACCTTATTAAATACTAGTAGCTTCCACCTTTCGCATTTCGCCTTCGATTATATATGTAAGGCACATAATCATATCGAACCTTTCCACGTGATAACACCACCCTTCAAAAGACATATCCTAAATCATAATTTGAATTTATTTTATCGTTTTAGTGGTAATACGCGATATGTAAAATAATTGTAGGTTTATCAGTTATCATTTAGACAATAAGCTCGTCGATAAAAAGCTTCGACAAAACCTTTTGATAGTTTGTTTTTAAAATAATGAAACTATCATATTTCTATCTGTGTGTATTGCATAAATTTATGTAGAGGTTGTTTATACAATTAGCAAATTTGGATTTGGATATATATATAGTTACTTTTTTAAGATGATAAAACAAAGATGATCGTATTCAAAGAAAAAGATGATCAAAAGTATTAAATTTTGTACCGCTTTACATAGGTTTTTTTGTTTGTTTTGAACCTTAACATTACATAACTTTAGAGGTGACTTTTCAATCTATCAAGAAGACGTCATATTCAATTTTTATAGATATGCCACTATTACGGATCAGAGAAAAACTCAACCATAACGATTATGATTTGTATTGTAAAATCTACAGAAAGAAAACGATTATGGTTTGCTTGAAGAAATATTAGCAGTCTTATGTTGGGTGTGTTTTTTTTTGTTATTATATTTTTTTTTAAGATGTAAGTAAATCTAGATGGAAAGAATCAAAATTCTAGAGAAATTATTGTTATTTTGAAAATTTGTAAAGGAAAGTTTAACCTTTGTTTCATGATTTTCAGTAATATATACATATAGCTAATTTGTTTGGTCTCAAAATATAAGCTTTTCAGAATAATTTTTCTTCTACTCTCCTTCCCTCTAAAATTATCAACCAATCAGACCGATCATTTGATTCGATAAATTCATAAACAAATGTAAAAAAAAAAAAAAAAAAAAACAATTCATAAACAAATGCAGAGTCATCATTGTGCAGGACACTTTGACGCAGAGAGACGAATACATCACTACTTGGTCCCCGTAATTGACTAATTGGAAGTTTGGAACGATTGTGGATCAAACGACTTGATTCACCCTACACAAAAATACAATTAGCACAAAACGATTTGATACAATCTACACGGATAAACTATTGGATAACATTTTTTACTTCATAAATTGATCACGTCCACATGCTATTATTTATTGGAACGAATCGATAAAATACCATACTATCTTCTTAATTTTGACTGACATTTCTCCAAATCTATAGTATAAAATAGCGATATTGTTCCTAGTTCTTCAAATGTTTAGACCGACTCTCTTGCTAAAAAGCTCAATCACAAAGTTTTTGATTCTTCCATGTAAGTTAGACATAACATGTAGAGATCATTCCATAGGACAATTTTGTGGACCGAACTTAATTTAAATATATAGAATGTTAACAAAAAAAAAACGAGCGATAGTGTTATAATAGGTCCATCTAGGAAAATGATATGTGATGATGAAGAGCGATATGAGAATTGACAAATTAATTATTTAAATTGAATGGCTTGTGACTTCATCATTTCCCCTACTTCCTACGCTTACCAACTTGGTGGTCTCAATACCCTCTCTGTTTAAATTAAAATTAAATCCACTACTTCGGCAACTGTTACTATCTTTTTTAAAAAAAAATTAACGAAAATATCTACTCTAGTCTCGATGAAATTGTAGTATATTCGAAGTGTTTCTATTTCGCAAAATGATTAACACTTTAAATAATTTGATCAACTCCTAAATTTTAAAACTTATTTACTAGGAGTTTAGTAAATGGATTGGATTTATTCGGATTTACCATTTGGACACTTATATGGTTTCCTTGATTACGTATTATTTGGACTTTGTTATACCAAATTCATCACCATATATATACTAATTAAATCAAATATGTAGGCCGACAAAACTGTCTAAGAATATCTGACCAAATCATTTCAAAACTTTTGTAGTTAGAAAAAGAACTGAAGAAATAAATCCATCTACCGAATGTTTTATGTTTATGATAATATTGATTAAAAATGATGATGAATAACAAAACAAAAACCGTACGAAGAAGAAGAAAATAATATTCATTTATTCGCAGATTTGTCGTGGCATAGTTTTAAATTGCTTTGGGAAAGGAATATAAGACTCTGACTGGTAAACAATTTAGTTAAAAATCGAAAAAGTAAGAGAAAAATTGTATGGATTCACTATAAATCAAAGTAATCTTTCTCATTTTTTATGTACATGGAAATTGTCAGCCGGAAGGAAAAGTTAAAATACTTGATAACAAACAAATTTTTACTCTATCAAGTTTGAATAACTTGTTTTATTCCATTTTTCTCTAAACTGTTTACAGTCCGCCTAAATCTTTCTACCTTGAGTTCAGTTCCCACTATAAACTCATGGTGTGTTCGGATAAGTAAAACTGGATTTAGACCTATGATGAACATGATGGATTACCATCTTGCTCAGTCAGTTGGTCTTGTGACGGATGAACATAAAATACTTGTTTGTGACGGATGGTTGTGTTGGCCTAATCCTTGTAAAAGCAACTTGAACCTTGGTCACTTTAATCCGGTACCGGGCCTAGAACACTTAGGGTAAAAAAAAAAAAAAGAACAAGATTTTTTTCATCATTTTCTTCAAAGGAGGAAAACTTCATATGAAAAAGAAACATATAGCATTGCATGCGAAGATCACTATAGTTAGGTTTACCCTATATGCACAGTGGGTTTAAATGATTAAAAGAGGTTCTTTTATAAATTCAGTTCTTATAATAAACTTTGACGATGGCATAAAACATAAATCTCATCTTGTATATATCGGAGGTTATTGTACAAATGGAGCAGTAATACAATAAAAAACGGTCAAAAGCACATGTCACAATATGAAATATCATCAGTTATTGTAAGCGTTACTGTAGAAAAAAGACATCTAACATTTAAGTTTTGAACCTAATATAACAAAATATTAAATAAGGAAAAAGCTTTTACAATTGATAAGATAATCAGACAGAGTGTTTTGAGGGTGCATCAAAGTACTGTGGTTTGCAAGAAGCCAAGAAGTAAAATGACGTTAGAAATCTTAAGCATTAACTACCCTCGGATTTTCTTCTTTGATGTTCATTCAATGTATAAGA